AGCCTTTTCACAGTCCAACCTGCCTTGCCTGCATCATCCTACGATTTTACTCAAGGTACACATTTAGGAACACTCCACGTCCCAACTAGCCCACCAATGGCACAACTAAGTGCCTCGTCCACATGATTTTCCGACGCAGAACCAATGCCTACAAATTACTTGAGAACACTCAACATCCCTTCAATCATACTTATTGAAGCAATCAAGTGCATCATCAACATTTGCTTTAAAATCCTCAACATCCCCGTCAATCCTCATAGTATTATTATATGGGAGCAACCGAAACTTCAGCACTTTCTACTGTTTTTCCAAAGTCACGATCTATTATGCCACCAGATTATCTTCATGCAGCAACATACCATCCGATCCTTTTGATTATGATTTGCAGCCACTTACTATTTTCCCTAGCAACTATACAAAAATGTTATACCAAATTGTTACAGGGTTGTCTCAAATTCCAACAACCGACCTGTAATAGCACTAAGATATCTCGTCTCATTCAGCCCACTCCATATATTTATACATTAGACAATGAAAATAAGTAGATTTCAAGTAAAAGTATTAAGCCAGCACATGAATTTATCGGAAACATCCCAACTTTATTTCTCCGAAATATAGAAACAATACATTAAAAAATTTGTTAAGGGTGAAAACATTTTGTTACCTTTTCACCCCTTCTCTTCGATTCTAACTCCTCAACACTTCGAAGTTATATACAAAAATTCGTATCAAAGTTGACACACCCAACTACAATTGTAGTTTCTCACATTTTTAGTCCCTAATTAGGCCATAATTGCCCCATTTCCGAGCACTCACCGAAATGCCTCTAACTGCCATCATGTGTTATACTTGTGCTTGTTTTCCTACTAAATTTTAGGATTAAAATTAGCTGGACAATGCTAGCTCTCATCAACACCCACAACTGATGCTAACTTCCATTTCCAAGATTCTGCACTTGTGATCCGCCATCAAGTAAATCAACAATCACTTGCCTTCTTCACTTGCTCATCACAATGTCAACATGCTACCTTACTTTTGTTACACCAAATCTAAGCATCTTGAATCATGTGTGCCTTCAGTCATGGCATTAGCATTGGACAAGGTAAACCCTGTGAACCTGGTAGCAATGAACACTAACGAACCCATAGAAGAATGATACAAACCCCTAGAAAGCCAAAAAAATCAAAGTTTAGGACTCAATTCACAAATTTGCGGACCAAACAACTAATAATATATTAAACTATTGACATTTTGATCACGAAACTTATAAATTTAATTCGAATTTGGATTTAACCCAAATAATTAATGAATCAAACAACCCCAATTGGAGCCAAGGGTTCCTACTTCTGCTCCTTAAAGGATAGGAACACCCTTCGTAGCACAAGATCATTCAAGCGAAATGACTTCTTCCAAACTTTTAAGTTTTAATACCTAGCCATCTTTCGCTGGTAGATAGCCAATCTTGCTTGAGATTCATCAATCATTTCTTCAAGAAAATCTAGTTTGCACCTTCTCAACTCGTCATTAGATATTTTGTTAAAATATATGTGACGGGGTTCATAGCTTAGCTCTGTAAGCCATAGAGAAAGGAGTTTCTCCTATAGCTGTCCTGCTAGTAGTTTGGATGGCTCATAGGACTTGAGGTAGTTCATCAACCCAAGCCTCCTTAAAAGCGTCCAATTTCCTATTGAATGTGTATTTGATGGTACTATTAACAGCTTCCACCTGTCATTAGTCTGAGGATGATGTGGGGAAGAAAATTGATTTTTGATTCCTAATTCTTCACATAAGTTTCTGACCTTGTTATTGTCTAACTCTGAGACAATTGAATGGGGAAATTCGAACCTTTATATGATATTTTCCCATAAAAATTTGGAAGCATTTGCTTCAATAATTTTAGTTAGGGGTTCGACTTTGACCCATTTTAGTTCTTGAGACGGCTGCCTTTGAATTGTTGCAAAGCATTAACACTTATCGTACAATTTTGTAAATTGTTGTGCATCCTATTTCGGTGTGGGCCAATAATATCTCCATCTTAATACCTTTTGTGCCAGATACTATCTCTCGTATGATTGCTACATACCCCTTCATGAATTTCTTTGAGTAGTTTGTATGGCACGTCGTATTAGAAAACGAAGTGGGCGGCTTCTCTTTGGGCTATTGTGCCTCCTGTTTGTCAAAGGGTAGAGCTTGGTCTTGTGATATTTTTAATTGTCTAATATAATTATTCTAATAGATAGTGTTTTGGTTTAAGAACAAATAAGTCCATGATTTTTATGCAGATGTTTTAAAATTTATTGTTTTAAAAATTCATCTTCAATTATATGTTTTTTCAATATAATAATTATTTACATGAATCTATATATTTATTTTAACTTATATTCTTTAAAAATATTATTTATCACAAAATTTATTTTCAAAAAATTTACATCAAACAAACCCATTTCTTTTCTTTTTAATTTGAAAATAGAAATAAAATTTCTTTACAAGTAGGGTTGGCAACGGTTCGGTTATGGGTCGGTTCGGCCAAAACCATAACCGCACCACCAAATTTTTGACCATACTATAACCGCACCATAACCACGTAAATCGGTTCGGTTCGGTTCGGTTCGATTTGTATCTCGGTTTGGCACGGTTCGGTTCGATTAATAACCATGAAAATAAATTATTTTTTATAGATTCATCCGTCAGATTGATATAAAATAATTTATTTAAAAAGTCAATGAAATAAAAAACACAATATTCCAAACGAAAATGTAAACATTATCCAAATTTTCAATTGTAAAATACAAATTTAACAAACAATCTTATAAATATAACAATACTAAGTTTTTTCTTCATTCTTAATTGTTGTGCATCGAAGTTATTTGATTCATTCTTCCCCACAAATCTTACTAGCATAGATCAACACTCAAAATTGATTCATATATAGTAAATAAGAAATGTAAGTAGGGAATACAACAATACTACCTATACTAGAATGGTCTTAATTAAGATTTAAATAAAAAAAATGTACCTCTTCGTCAACTTCATTCTCGCTAAACGTTGCATAAACTCTAGAGTATGATGAAAAAATAGTATTTTCTACACACAATAGAAAAAAATTAACAATAAAAGGAACCGTGCGTGAGTTTGTGGTCTGTGGAGAGTAGGGTTTGCATTTATATACTGTCATACTAGTGCTATTATTATGGGCTAATGGTAAGTGGGTTGGCAGGCTGAGTCATGTAGATGTAATGGGGAGATTTTGTTTTGGGCTAGATAGAAAAGTAGTGTAAAGCTTAATAATCAATTCAATTGGTTTTTTTTATTTAGCGGGTAATCGGTTCGGTTTCAGTTCGACGGCGTAAATACCATACCCGCACCGTCACAAACCGGTTCATAAAAATAAAAACCATATCTGCCCCATTGCACCATCGGTTTGATTTTTTTCGCCCCATTCGATTCGGCTAACCGCGATTTTCGATTTTGATGGTTCAAATTACCATCCCTATTTACAAGTATCACTATACAACAAATCTTTTTGTTTCGAAAAGAATTTGTGACTGGTTTTAATTTTGCAACACGCTTCTTTGTAGGTATACTGTGACTGCTGTCTCTTGCTGGCGGTTTTTGTGCAATTTCCAGGAAATTTCTTTACTTTAACTTTGCGTTTTGTTTCTGTGTCAGAAACATTAAAATCTTGGATATGTGCAGCTTTCCTTTTCGTGACTTTGGACTTTAGCAGATCATATAATTCATTTGATTGAAATTCGTGGAAGTTTCATGATATTTAACTGTCCAACCTTTTCTTTTGGTCTTGTGTTCATGTTAAAATCTTAAAAAAGAAATTAAAAAAAAAAAATTATTTCCCTTTTGGTAAGTTAAGATTTTAAACGTGTGGTTTAATATGTTAGAATCTTTCGTATGCCATACTACTTGTTCATGAAAAGTTATGGGATTTCATTATAATCTTTTTTTTTTTTTTTGGTTGTTGTTTAACTATTTTTTTTTTTTTTTAAAGGAAATGAAAAATCCATCATTTAACGGCCAAAATGGAGGAAACTACTAATTTTTTTCTTAAGTGAAAAGTTGGGAATTGTTTATGCTAAAAAAGATCAATCCTGCTTGAAGTACAGGACCTGCTAGGATACACATACAAAGTGGGGCCGTCGCAATTTTTTTTAAATTACATGTGGGGCCCACTTGCTACACTGAGAGACCTGACTAACCCCTGTGAAATTAATCCCTATACTCAGGGATTAATTCAAAAATGATTGTGAATATATTTATTACATTTCACAAATGTTGGGAAAGAAAAGTGAATTTCCTCATAAAAAAACTAGATTCTCACGTAGAATTGGAAAGAGCAAAATGAGATTGTAAGAGTTTCAAAAAAATTTATGAAGTGTCAGTTCTTGAATTGGAAAAAAATATTAATATTTAACTTCATTTATATTTGACATTTTGTAGAATATTAATTGTAGAAACTTCCAATATGAGGACCGAACGTGACATGACATGGGCACATCGACATATATTTTTTCAAGAAAACACTACAAAACCAAGTGCAAATGGAGGGTAGTAGATCTAGTCTACACAGATCCATTATATTTTAAGGAAGAAAATATGTAGGTGATCCTTTTTTTTCTTTTTCTTTTTTGTATCTCCTTGGCTCTGTTCATGGACAAGACACATTTTCGACATGCTAAATAAAATAAAATTAATCTTTTTTTTTTCATTTTTATATTGTAGAATCAATTTATTTTTGTTAATTAATGCATGTCAATAATATATTGACAACATGTCGACAATGCATCTCCAGACAAGTCCAATTGTATAAAATCAGAAAATAATTTACACTTGTCAATAGGCATTTCTGATACATGTTATCGACTTATCGATTTTTTTGGCATGTATTGAACACCAGGTCACAAGTGCTGGTAAGGTATCTGTGTACCCTAAATATTAGTCATGTGAATGTTTCTTCTCAGCTAGAAAGGAGGCGAGTACAAAAAACTTTACAAGGAATATATCACAAATCCTAGAGATTCTTCGGTGGGGCGGTCCAATGCCCGCTGAGGTGACGCCTCGGCATTGAGCCATTCAAGTTTTTCTCCACAAATCCATCTTCAAAACACGTGTAAAAGTAGATTTAGAAAAGAAAGAAATGAGTTGGAGATTTTGTAAACGTTACTCAAGTATACAAAATACTTAAGTTTGTTAGAAAACAAAGATGCATCTTCAATTTTATCAAGATAGACATACAAGTACACGATACCTTTAATTCATTTAAGATAAGGGCATACAGGATATGTACAGCTTTCCTTTTCGTGACTTTGGACTTTAGCAGATCATATAATTCATTTGATTGAAATTCGTGGAAGTTTCATGTTATTTAACTGTCCAACCTTTTCTTTTGGCCTTGTGTTCATGTTAAAAGCTTAAAAAAGAAATTAAAATTTTTTTTTTCCTTTTTGGTAAGTTAAGATTTTAAACGTGTGGTTTAATATGTTAGAATCTTTCGTATGCCATACTACTTGTTCATGAAAAGTTATGGGATTTCATTAGATTTTTTTTTTTTTTGGGTTGTTGTTTATCTATTTTTTTATTTTTTTAAAGGAAATGAAAAATCCATCATTTAACGGCCAAAATGGAGGAAACTACTAATTTTTTTCTTAAGTGAAAAGTTCGGAATTGTTTATGCTAAAAAAGATCAATCCTGCTTGAAGTACAGGACCTGCTAGGATACACATACAAAGTGGGGCCGTCGCAATTTTTTTTAAATTACATGTGGGGCCCACTTGCTACACTGAGAGACCTGACAAACCCCTGTGAAATTAATCCCTATTCTCAGGGATTAATTCAAAAAAGATTGTGAATATATTTATTACATTTCACAAATGTTGGGAAAGAAAAGTGAATTTCCTCATTAAAAAACTAGACTCTCACGTAGAATTGGAAAAGAGCAAAATGAGATTGTAAGAGTTTCAAAAAAATTTATGAAGTGTCAGTTCTTGAATTGGAAAAAAATATTAATATTTAACTTCATTTATATTTGACATTTTGTAGAATATTAATTGTAAAAACTTCCAATATGAGGATCGAACGTGACATGACATGGGCATGTCGGCATATATTTTTTCAAAAAAACACTACAAAACCAAGTGCAAATGGAGGGTAGTAGATCTAGTCTCCACAGACCCATTATAGTTTAAGGAAGAAAATATGTTGGTGATCCTTTTTTTTTTCTTTTTCATTTTTGTATCTCCTTGGCTCTGTTCATGGACAAGACACATTTTCGACATGCTAAATAAAATAAAATTAATCCTTTTTTCTTTTTTTTTTTCTTTTTTATATTGTAGAATCAATTTATTTTTGTTTATTCATGCATGTCAATAATATATTGACAAGATGTCGACAATGCATCTCCAGACAAGTCCAATTGTATAAAATCAGAAAATAATTTACACTTGTCAATTGGCATTTCCGATACATGTTATTGAATTATCGATTTTTTTGGCATGTATTGAGCACCAAGTCACAAGTGCTGGTAAGGTATCAGTGTACCCTAAATATTAGTTATGTGAACGTTTCTTCTCAACTAGAAAGGAGGCTAATACAAAAAACTTTACAAGGAATATATCACAAATCCTAGAGATTCTTCCCCCGGGGGGGGGGGGGGGGGGGGGGGGAAAGAAAAATTTTCCCTCTAATTTTTACTTTAACTTTGCGTTTTGTTTCTGTGTCAGAAACATTAAAATCTTGGATATGTACAGCTTTCCTTTTCGTGACTTTGGACTTTAGCAGATCATATAATTCATTTGATTGAAATTCGTGGAAGTTTCATGTTATTTAACTGTCCAACCTTTTCTTTTGGCCTTGTGTTCATGTTAAAAGCTTAAAAAAGAAATTAAAATTTTTTTTTTCCTTTTTGGTAAGTTAAGATTTTAAACGTGTGGTTTAATATGTTAGAATCTTTCGTATGCCATACTACTTGTTCATGAAAAGTTATGGGATTTCATTAGATTTTTTTTTTTTTTGGGTTGTTGTTTATCTATTTTTTTATTTTTTTAAAGGAAATGAAAAATCCATCATTTAACGGCCAAAATGGAGGAAACTACTAATTTTTTTCTTAAGTGAAAAGTTCGGAATTGTTTATGCTAAAAAAGATCAATCCTGCTTGAAGTACAGGACCTGCTAGGATACACATACAAAGTGGGGCCGTCGCAATTTTTTTTAAATTACATGTGGGGCCCACTTGCTACACTGAGAGACCTGACAAACCCCTGTGAAATTAATCCCTATTCTCAGGGATTAATTCAAAAAAGATTGTGAATATATTTATTACATTTCACAAATGTTGGGAAAGAAAAGTGAATTTCCTCATTAAAAAACTAGACTCTCACGTAGAATTGGAAAAGAGCAAAATGAGATTGTAAGAGTTTCAAAAAAATTTATGAAGTGTCAGTTCTTGAATTGGAAAAAAATATTAATATTTAACTTCATTTATATTTGACATTTTGTAGAATATTAATTGTAAAAACTTCCAATATGAGGATCGAACGTGACATGACATGGGCATGTCGGCATATATTTTTTCAAAAAAACACTACAAAACCAAGTGCAAATGGAGGGTAGTAGATCTAGTCTCCACAGACCCATTATAGTTTAAGGAAGAAAATATGTTGGTGATCCTTTTTTTTTTCTTTTTCATTTTTGTATCTCCTTGGCTCTGTTCATGGACAAGACACATTTTCGACATGCTAAATAAAATAAAATTAATCCTTTTTTCTTTTTTTTTTTCTTTTTTATATTGTAGAATCAATTTATTTTTGTTTATTCATGCATGTCAATAATATATTGACAAGATGTCGACAATGCATCTCCAGACAAGTCCAATTGTATAAAATCAGAAAATAATTTACACTTGTCAATTGGCATTTCCGATACATGTTATTGAATTATCGATTTTTTTGGCATGTATTGAGCACCAAGTCACAAGTGCTGGTAAGGTATCAGTGTACCCTAAATATTAGTTATGTGAACGTTTCTTCTCAACTAGAAAGGAGGCTAATACAAAAAACTTTACAAGGAATATATCACAAATCCTAGAGATTCTTCCCCCGGGGGGGGGGGGGGGGTATATCACAAATCCTAGAGATTCTTCGGTGGGGCGGTCCAATGCCCGCTGAGGTGACGCCTCGGCATTGAGCCATTCAAGTTTTTCTCCACAAATCCATCTTCAAAACACGTGTAAAAGTAGATTTAGAAAAGAAAGAAATGAGTTGGAGATTTTGTAAACGTTACTCAAGTATACAAAATACTTAAGTTTGTTAGAAAACAAAGATGCATCTTCAATTTTATCAAGATAGACATACAAGTACACGATACCTTTAATTCATTTAAGATAAGGGCATACATCAACATATTTTGTCATTAGTGCTACAGTAAATTGAACAAATAGATGCATTATGGAATATTTATGTTACATTTTTATTATTTTTATTATTTTACTTCTACACTTCAAAAATATTAATTATCACAAAATTTATATTTAAAAATTATAAATCAAACGAGCCCATTTCTTTTTTTTTTTTAATCAAGTATCGCTACACATCAAATCTTTGTTTGGAAAGAAATTTGTGACTGGTTTTATTTTTCAAAGACGTTTCTTTGTAGGTGTGATGTCTCTTGCTGGTCGTGTTTGTACAATTTCCATGAAATTTCTGTTACTTTAACTTTACGTTTTATTTCCGTGTCAGAAACATCAAAATCTTGGATGGACAGCTTTCCTTTCGGTGACTTTGGACTTTAGCAGTAGCAGATGATAAAATTTATTTGATTGAAATTCGAGGAAGTTTCATGTTATTTAACTGTCACACCTTTATCTTTATCTTTGTCTTGTGTTTCATGTTAAAAGGATTTTTAGTAAAAATGAAATTACTAAAAAATTATTTTCTTTTTGGTAAGTTACGATTTATTCGGATGCCATACTTCTTGTTTATGAAAAGTTACGGGATTTCATCTATAATATTTTTTCCTTTATTCCTACTATTTTTTATATTTTTTTATTTAACAAAAATGAAAAATCCATCATTTTACGGCCAAAATGGACGAAAATATGAGTTTTGCTACATAATTAAAATGTTGGGAATCGATTATGCTAAAAATGATTGAGAATATGTTTATTACATTTCATAAATGTAGGGAAAGAAAGTACAAAATTTCCCTTAAAAAAAAAAAAAAAAATAGAATCTCACATACAATGGCAAATGCAGGATTGTTGGTCAGCTAGAGAGACTGTTGACCATCGATTGTCGACAGTTAACAACAGTAATAGTGAGATTGTTTATAATATTTAATTAAATAATATTAAAAATTATTCAATATGTAAATGCAATAAAACATAAAAATCACATACTTATGAAAATATAATTCAATACAATCCATAATAACAATAATAATAATAATAATAATAATAATAATAATAATAATAATAATAATAATAATAATAATAATAATAATAATAATAATAAGTACATGGTTGGACATCACTCTGTAACTATAAGTTCTAACAATTTCATTCTTCAGAATTTCATATTTTGAAAGTGTTGCCAAATTGTCCCATTCTCAAAATTTTCAAAGATCTCTTTTTCAATGTGAACCACCAAATTGTTATTCAATTAATCATCTCCTATTTTGTTGTGTAATTTACTCTTCATTATTTTCATAGTGGAGAATATTCTTTCAACACTTGCAGTTGCCACAAGTATTATCAAAATCAAGATGATTAGCCTATAAAAAAAATGGAAAATAATAGAACATTTTTTTTCCCAACCAACTTTTGAGTTACACAAGATATGCTATTAAGATTCAATAAAGCTTCATCCCTTCTCAAAAGCATAAGAAACCTGTCAAATTGAGATCTGAGTAATAATAGATCGTCATCGTTGACGTTCAAATGATAGAATTGAGCAAATTGTAGCAATTTAACCATATCAAAAGCTGCAAATGAGGCTGTTGGATTAAAACATGAAATACAAGTAAGGAACTCAATAATTGTCTTTGGAAAACGATCATTCAACTCTTGCACGATTGAGTTTATCACATGACAATACAAATCAACATAAAAGCGATGATAATAAGTCACCTGCTGAGCTGCAAGACTAGGTTGACCTCTCAATACTTCAATATCCTCCATATTGGGTAATAAAATATGTCTACCAACACAAAACTCAATCATCCCACTCAACATATTATCCCAACAATTGTCCATCATGTTTAGATATGCATATTTACACAAATCCATAATGTCATAGCATTTTGGATGTATTGATCATTTTTTGCATGACTTGTAAAAGATTATTTGTAATTGCAAGAATTTCAAACATAAACTAGAGATTGAAAGAAAGAGATGAGGTGGAGATGTTGTAATCGTTACTCAAGTATACAAAATATTTTGTTAAGAAGCAAAGATACGTCTTCAATTTTATCAAGATAGATGTACAAGTGCATGATACACTTTAATTCATCTAAGATAATGCCATACTTCATCATACTTTGTCTTTATTAAGTTATTTTAAATATTCGATTAATCCTCTATCATAGAAAATGCTCACTATACAAGCTCCTCTTTAGGGTTGTATCGTCCTTGTTAGTAATTTGAAGATGGTGGTTGAGAAATAAACTTATTATAGTAATCGAACAAATAAATGTTATTACAACTATTTGACAATTAGTGCCGTTAATATTTTTGGGGGGCATTATATGAAGAATTTCTCATTATCTTTAACAACCAACTTTTTAAATGTTGGGGATTGTTGCGCTAAAATTTAAGCTAAGAGTATTTTGCTACTCTCTTGAAAGGTTGGAGGCGAAATGCACCAATTTCCCTACAAAAAATTGGTTGCTTGGTATAGAAAGTTTTTGAGTTGACTATCACCATGCATTTTCGTCATAAACGATTATTAAACAAATCAATAAAAAAATTTTGATAATAAGTTCATCATCGATGCGATTTTTTATGTTTGTGGTATTTATTACATGTAGCTGCAGTATGCAAAAATTAGGAGAATTACAACTGAAACAAAAGATATCAACTTCTCCAGAATGCATGTACAAAGATTTGAAAAGATAAATAACACACATGGCTTTCGGCAACTTCAAATTCAGAAACATTATGTAAGACACATAATAGATAGAAACAAAACTGGATTATATCATAGAGAGTTTGATTGATTTGCTAAATAAGCGAGCGTCTCACATAGTGTTGGAGAAGAGCAAGATGAAAGTGATAGAGTTACAAAAAAGTACGAGGTGTCGGTATCTGCGTTGGAAAAAATGTTAAATATTAATCTCATTTATTTTTATTTGACATTTTGTAAAATATTAGTCTATGAAGCATTGACACAAACATGATTATCAGATATGACAAGACACGGACATACCGACACAATTTTTCTAAAAGCACCAACAAGACACATTCTCGACACTTTGATTAAAATAAGAATTATTTTTATTATATTTTTATGTTATAAACAAACTTGTTTTTTGTTAATTCTAGTGTGTCGATAATGTATTTATAAAATGTCAACAATGTATCTCTCGATGTGTTGATAATGTGTCCAATTGTTCAAAAAATAAAAAAGAAATAAATAAAAAATTTACATATTATAATGTAATAGAGTGATAGAAATATTTTAACCTCTTAATCGATATTAATTGGTCCAATATCTGCAATTATAACACTTGATTCATTTTCTCCATAGAGATAAGCATGAATTTATTGATTATTAATATAAAACAAATAAGAAAATGAATAGAAATATGAAATATGATAATATATTCTATAATTTTTTGTGAATCATCCAATGTTTTTACCTTATTCAAATGTTGACGAATCATTATAGGGTTTGGTTTTAACTCAAATGTATTTAGTTTTAACTTGGTTGAAAAATATCTAATTTAGTTTATTGTTTCATACTTTTTAGGATTGTACCTCTTTGATGGAGATTATAAGTTTCTCTCTAGGATTGTACGCTCTTTGATGGTGACTATAAGCTTCATGTTGAAAATTGAACTCAATACAGTAAAATATATTCAAACAAACACATGGCATTGCTAAAATAGCACAGTTTATCCTTTTGGATGGTATATTACAAATTTAGCATCCTCTTTGACGACCAATTTTCTATAAGTTGGAATTGTTTGCCCCAAAAAGTAAAGGTAAGGGTAGTTCCACTGCTATCTTGAAATGGAGAAGAAACACACTAATTCCCTAATTAAAATAAGTTGTTTCGTACAGAAAGTTGAAGAGTTGAATGTGTTGGTGCATCTCCGATTTATATACTATTTAACAAATCATAGAAAATTGTCGAAAATAGGTTTATTATTGACACCTTTTGTGTGACTTTATATATTTATGGTATTTATTATGTGTAGCAGCAATAAACGAACAATTTAGGAGAATTACAGCTGAAACGAAAGATATCAACTTCTCAAGAAGGCATGTATGAGGATCCAAATAAGTAGACAAATGCTATGTCATTACTTCGGCAACTTCAAATTTAGAAGACATAATCTACTACCCACAGCATGTTTAGCAAAATCAGACTATAACACAGAGTTTGGTGGTTGGTGTTGGAGAAGGGTGAGATGACTGTGAAAGATTTACATAAAATGTATGAGGTATCGATTCTTGAATTGGAAAAAATGTTAAATATTAGCTTCACTAATTTTTACTTGAAAATTTATTGACTATTGGTCTAAGAATATCGACACGGTTACGAGTGTGGAACATGATACGATACAGACATACCAACACAATCTTTTAATAAAAGCGCCAATAAGACACGTTCTTAACCTCTAATTAAAATATGTTTTTTGTTTTATTTTTGTGTTTATATTGCAAATAAAATTTCATTTTGCTAGTTCCAAGTGTCAACAATATAGCGAAAACTTGTCGACATATTCCCGACGTATCAGTAATGTGTTCAATTGTACTAAACTAAAAAATAATTTGAACCCATCACTTGGTGCTATTAATGTGTTGACGATATTTGGGCGTCGTGTAGGTGCTAGACGCTTGTGAAACACCAACTAGCTAATTGTATGAGGGTATCTGTATATCTCAGATATTAGTGTTTTGAATGTCTCTTCTTAACCAAAACGGAGGCAAGTATACTAGCTTCGCAAGGAGATCATAAATCCCTCTTTAGAACACATATACAAGTGGAGTTTGGAAAGAAGGAGAGATGTGAAGAGGTTGTAAACATTACTATAGTATAAGAATATTTAAATACGTTAGAAAGCAACGCTACGTTCATTTTATCAAGATAGATATACAAGTACATGATACACTATAATTCATTCAAGACGAGGACAAACATCAATCATACTCTGTTAGAATTAGATATTTTACATACATAATTAACCCTCCAACATAGTAATACTCATTAGACAACATCTCTCTAGGACCTCCTTGATACTGATTGTAAGAGGTTGAGAAATGAACTCAATTTAGTAAAATATATTCAAACAAACATATGGAATTCACGATGCTAAGTTCCTTTCTTCCCTCTTAACTGCTAGATCCATACATTCCTTACTAAAATAAAATCTATTAGGAAACATTATTTACCTTTTACAGGAAAGTTAGCTTTAATTTTTTCAAACATACAATTCAATGGCAAAAATAGTGCATTTTCATACTAGGAATGGCAAAATGCCGTTAAACCTGATACATGCAAGTTCTTGCCTCGAATGGGATGAGGATTTCCCACGTAATCGGGTACTCAAAGCGGGGCAGGGTGCTGGACCTTGCCACGAGGTGGGGGGATAGGAATGGGAACATGGTCCCTAACCACGGCCTGTCCCGTTTAAAAACCAAACACGTTTTTATAAAAAAGAAATCGATTCTTGAATTGAGTAACTTTGTTGTGCTACCAAATGCAGTGATATCAATTAAAATTGAGATTTAGAATCTTATAATTGTGTAGCATGAAATGAAGAGGAGATTGGTAAGTCGCAAAATCGAATATGTTACTTGATAGAATTCACGGGAATGGGGTTAGTATTTCTTGGTAGTTTACAGAAGAAAATAGTGTTTATAATCGTTGAATCCACTTTGTGGCTAGCTTTGTATTTTTTTAGCTAATATAGTATTAAAAAGTAAACGAAAAAAAAAAAAATTTTAATGCGACAGTAAAACGGGCAGGCCATGTGCCTCGCCCGATCTTCACCCCATCTTAGCTCCGTCTTGCCTTAAGCATGGATAGGGGCAGGGCAATACCATCTTTATTTGTGGAAATTACATAAAACCATAGTTTAACTATTCATAGTTCCCAAATCAGAGTGGAAAATTTCACTAATCAGGTTTTTTTTTCATTTATTAATTATTTTAAAACTATTTAACAACTGTCTCCCCTAAATTCACCTATTTTAAATTTTGGAAATTCTATATTCATTAAAACCTCTCTACACGTCCTTTCCATAAAATCCACATCCCTTACGTATCCACATTTTACAATTACAACCGCCGTTCATCCAAGCCAAATTTTGCCTTCATCCTTGTTCGTTCTCCGGCGATTCCCCGACGACCTTCTTCCACCGTCGTGTCTATATATATTTTACACGTTCCTTCCAAAAAGAAGTGATCATAGTTGAACCGCAATCTTCTAAAATTTCAAGGATGACTCGTTCAAGGAGTGAGAAACGAGGGGAGAAAATTAGAATCCACAAGTCAGGAAGAAGAGGTAAAAGGAAGGTGGATGAAGTGCAGAAGGATTCGTCTTCTAAAAGACACAAATCCAAACGTTCAGTTACAAAATCGCCTGCGAAGAAGGTGTTTTGCAAATTTTCAATTGTTCACTTATTTTGAGCATACCTATGTACATTTTAATTGATGGGTAATGTGTATGGATGAAGGATTTTGAATTTGTGAGGTATATTGCATTGAATTTGTTGTGTGGATTTGTAATCGAAATGCTCCATACTAGAAAGGGTTTTTAATGTTTTCTTCAAAAGTGGTTGTTCATTTGTGAATTATGGAACGCTATTGTGTCGTTTTGTATGTGTGTTGTTGATTTCTTATCTGGTAGAGGGGACCTGTGACCTATATGTTGATGTTGTGTCTATCTGGATTCCCACCCGTGACCAAACTAATGAGTTTTATTGTGATCGATGTTGCAGGCCTGGAGATACATTATACCCTAGAAGAGTTGGTTTTTGGGTAAAATTACAATTACCCTCGTGAAAGATGTGGTGTCAAATTTCAAAAAC